CCCTCCCGGTGGGGCTGCTTGCCCCTGGCTTTCCTGGAGCAGCAACCACGTAGCCTGATTTCAGCGTTTGGAGTGTGCAGTATAGGAGCCAATGCAGGGCCCTGTTTTGGGGCTCTTAGTCTCTCCCCAGGAGAGACTGACTCATCTGTTTAATTTGCAAGTCTTCAGCTTTGTTCCTTTTGTGATATATCACAAATCTTTTGGTCAAAACACATGGCAAGTGTTGATCAAGTGCATCTGATGCATGCTGACAAGCACAACAGAAACATCATCTCATCAACATGAGACAGGAGATTGGAGGTGGAATAGGATATTCAGAAAAAACAAACTTGTGGGACAAAAAAAAAAAAGCTTTGTAGATAGTTCTGGGAAGGATCCATTTAATCACATTTTCACGTTAATTAGGGTTCCTCCTCTTGGTACCCTTCAAGTTATCTTAACTTTTATTCTTAGTTGTTTCAGTGTTACAAAATGTTTTACTTGTTTTCATGAATAATAGCCTGCATGTTGTTGCACAGTGGGTGAAAATTACTCTGGTGTAGGGGGTTGAAACAGGGCCTTTGATTCAGTAGAACATAAGGAGTGTATAAACTATGGACTGGCCATCTAAATAATTAATTTAATCTAAAGTGCATGGAGCACATTAAAGTTCTGTCTCAATGTAAATGCAGTGAGATGGTAACAGATTTGGCCAATCTGTCTTTTCTACAAAAATAAGATTGTCCTATAGCTGGAGTGGCTTTCGTCTGAGGATCTCGATAGCACCCAAATACAGTATATCACTATATCTCATCACTAAATTACAATTTTGCCCATCAGCTTTTCTTTAGTCACACACTCGCTAACCCAGTTGCTTAAGTCCAAATGTAGTTTTAGTTGAGATTTATTTTGGGTGGGCTTATAGCTGTTACCAATGCTTGTGAAAGTGCAGAATTAAAACAGCAAACTGATCCTAAACAGAAAGTGGAATTGACTTATTTGAGTTCATTGTCTTACTGAGGAAAATAAAAAGGGAACCACCAACATAAAAACTGTAAAGGGAGCTCAAGCACTGCAGTCATTTCCACTTGAATCCTCAGTGGTGTTACTGGTAGCAGAGCTGGTGACATCTTTAATGTCTGGTTTTTATTTTGTCTTATCCTCTCGTATCAACTCTGTCTTTCATCACAGAATGTGGAGCCCAAATCACCTGAAGCTTACAGGGAATTGATCTATGGTTCTCTCCCTTATTTCCCTGACTGCGCACCTAGATTTTAATGTATATTGTGGGGTCAGCTGTGGCAAACAGATTGGTTTTCCATTTCCATCTAAATGCAGCCAGGTTTGTGGGCATTTTCAGCTCCTAGGGTAATGTGTTCCAAATCCCTGAGTCAGCTGCTGGGATAGCCCAGTCCTGCACATCTCAGCTGAGTCGTCAGTACATTGCTGCTTTTGTTTCCATGGATGATAGCTATCGTAGTGAAGCCTCATGATGAGGAGAGAGACATTCTGCGAGGCATCCCACTTACAGCTTTATGAGTCAAGGCTTGAACTGAGCTTACATTCTTTGTGCTCACACCACCCTCAGTGACAGTCTGGGGCACATAGGAAATATTGAATCACCCACAGAAGCCCCTCTGCACCAGTGCAGCATAGCTAAGGTGCCATGGGTATTTGGGAAGAGTTTCAGGCTGGAAGAGGAATAGAGTTGGGGAGCAGCCACACTATAGAGGATGCTACTCTGGGAACAGGAATTGATTCACATATATTGATCCTGGTTGGGCTGATGGCAGCTTGGCATATCCACCACTTGCTGTGCTTCTGGGAGGCACAGAAGGGCAATTTCTTGGGGTACTTGATTGGTGACTTTGAAAATTGAGCCCTGAATCTCCAACAGCTTCCTTCTGGGATCATAGACTCATAGAAAAGTCGGGCTGGCAGGGCCCTCAGGAGGTCGTGTAGTGCAGCCTCTGCCCAAGACAGAATCACCCCTGTCTAAACCACTTCACTCGTGTTTGTCCAAACTGCTCTTGGAAGCTTCCAAGGATGGGGATTCCAAAACCTCTTTGTTCCAGCGCTTCTCCTGCCTCATAGGGATTTTGCAAGTGCCAATCTTGCTGCTTGCCTAATGGTGACATCCTAGCCTCTTCAGGGGGGTGTTGGGCAACCTTGTGGAGTATTCAGAATCAGCACGCCCTTTCCATTAATTGTTTTCCTGCATGAAGGGAAGCATCTGGGACCAGGCATGGTGCCTCTCAAGACTGTGATTTGTTATCATGCCACACCATTATACCTGGTTCGCTCACGGGAATATGCTAGAAATATAGAATGTTGTGCTCACTCACGTGATGAGTTTAGTGAAAAATAGAAGCCAGCATGGCACTGAAAACACTGCACCAAATGTTGCACTATGTTTCTAATCCTGCGATCACTAAATTCAGAAGGAGAGAAACAACCTCATGGAAAACAAAAGGTTAATTTACTTATGAGCAGTCAATGAGGGGAGTGCTGTGTCCAGCTTTTCAACACAGCGGGATAATTTTATGATCATCAATAACATTTGGAGCTATAATGGTATGGACATAATTAAATTTTGTGCTTCGATGCATCATCCGATTGCCTGCTAGAAAGAATTCCCCTATGCATTTGACTCCTGTTCGCTGTACTCAGTATTGCACATGCTTGATATTTTTTATTCCACCTTCTTTGGATACATTTCATATCAGCCAATGCCACAAACCACACTATGGATTGTGTGTTGGGTCCTGAACAGCAACGTGTATACAGTCTGTGTTTGTTCTTTTCTATATGCAGACTCACATAAATAAAATTATGCAGTATAAACCCACGTGGTATAAAACACCTTCCATCAGTTTAACTGATCTAGGAGCCTCTATGCAAAAGTTGTACCTACTGAAAACGTTTAAAAAAAATCACTCTGTCACTTAAAACACTACAACGTGTGCGGGTCACGTCTTACCCAAACAAAACAAGAAAATAATTTGGACCTAAATGTAGAACTACTTTAAAAGCCATCAAAATGCCCAGCAATGCCAGTTATGTTTATAAAAGCACTAAACTTTTGTAGGAAATCTCTAACTGGTAACTCAAGCAAACTATGGGAGCATTGGCATAGACAGTACAAAGATGTTGTCACTACCATGT